AGGTACTAAACCAGCTGAAACACCTATGGAAACAAATACTAAGCTGAGCAGTAATATGGGTGAAGTGTTTGAAGACCCTGGCAGATACCAGCGACTTGTAGGTAAACTGAACTACCTAACCATTACTCGGCCAGATATTTCATTTGCGGTTAGTGTGGTAAGTCAGTTCATGCAGAAACCTCTGGTTCCTCATTGGGATGCAGTTCTAAGAATTGTRAGGTATTYAAAAGGGGCYCCTKGTCRTGGTTTGATATACAAAAGTGGTGGAAAACTTGAAATAGAAGGATATATTGATGCTGACTGGGCCGGTTTTATGTCTGATAGAAGGTCTACCACAGGCTATTGCACTTTTCTTGGGGGTAATCTGGTGACATGGAAAAGTAAGAAGCAGACAGTCGTGGCAAGAAGCAGTGCAGAGGCAAAATATAGAACTATGGCACATACTACTTGTGAATTAGTGTGGCTGAGGAACCTTCTACAGGAGATAGGATACAATGTTAACACTCCAATGAAGCTCTAATGTGACAATTAGGTTGCAGTTCATATTTCTTCTAATCCGGTGTTTCATGAAAGAACCAAGCACACAGAGAGGTTGACTTTCACTTTGTGAGAGAGAAGGTGCTAAATGGAGTGATAGACACTGCATATGTTAACACAAGGTACCAGTGGGCAGACTTATTTACTAAAGGGTTGTCGGGGAAGAGTGGACTACATATGTAACAAGTTGGGATTATATGATATATACTCACCAACTTGAGGGAGAGTGTTAATGTCGAGTATGTAGGGGTATTTCTGTCTTTATGCTTATGTTGAGGTTGTTGATCTGTATTATTATATTAGGACTAGTGTCCCTCACTTAAGTAAGGGCACATTTGTCTTTTCCATTATGTTAATAATATAAAACATGTCTGGCCGAATGGGAGAAGTAACTTTTTCTCTCATTTGAACTAGACTTTTCTTCTCTCCTTTTCTCCTCTTTTCTCTCTCTTTCTTTCTTCTTTCTTCTTCTCTCTTCTTGGCTGCTATCAGACTAATAGAACTCAAGGGCAGGCCGAATATAATAATTTTATCTTGGGGTGATTTCTCATCACCTGGAGTTGTAAGCTATTTTCAGTGTGAATAAATTTTCTTTTTTATTTATCTCCAAAGAAATATTCCCCACATCCTCTACCAAAACAACCTTGGTCACCCACTACTAAGCCAACCCATTCTCCACCTTCCTTACCCCCTCACCTCTCATAAGATCTTGAAACCCATCATTACTACTCCATGAAGTCTCAAACGATGCAACTTCTTCAACCCTATTTTGAACTTATCCTTCACGCCACCTACTTCAGAACCCTCCTTCATCAAGCCACCCTAAAACCCTTCATTTTTACCCCCACCACCATCAAACCTAACTGAGATCCTACCTCTGAAAGAATGTAGTTGACATCGTCACCAACATTGTTCACCCCATTCTCAAACAACACTTTACCAAAAGATGTAAAAACTTTATTTGCTTTGCAAGCATTTCCTTCACCAAATCACTTCAATCGCTCAACTGAACCTCCAACTCTTCTACCAATTACCCATCTTGGTCACCTCAAACCTCAAAGCCATCTTCTTGCACCCACTATCAATATCACCACCTCCATCCTTCATCAAAGTCTCAAACTTAAACCTCTCCACTTCATCAGATCTAAAACCTCCCCTACTATGGTTCGAACAACCATCAACACCTGAGGCCCTAACAATTTAAAAAAAAAAAAAAATCAAATACTGCAAAAAAACAAAACGCAAAAAAATTAAAAAACATTAAAATAGTATTAATTAAGAAAAATGCAAACTTAAACTTTAAGGTAAATGTTTTAAAAAGCTTATTGGCTCAAATTAAAATACATAAACTTAACAGCAAGGTGCCAACCAGCTGGTTGGTAAGGTCTCCTGCTGGTTATAGCAGAGTCGGAGACTTGGGATCGAATCCCACCTGCACCTGGGCTTGGGGGGGTGTTATGGGTAGGGGGATGGACTACCCCTATTATGTAGCCCTTCAGAAGATATCAAAAAAACTATTCTAAGTGAAAATGTGAAAAATCAAATCAAATATGACATATAAAACATTTTCAAACATGTAAAATTAACTTTCAATCTAGTTCATTTCTTTTCCAATAGCATTGAGCTGCTTTGTATGAAACTCTTGCGGCAAACCCAAACAAGTCCATGATACGACCTTAAATTCTTAACCCATACATAAAATGTTTGTTTTCTAATTTTAATTGTAATTTCTTATCATTTGAAAAAAAAATATCGTATTAAAGAATAAAAAAACAATATAAGCAAAAAAGAGGGTTAGGAAAAAAGCACAAAATTAAACTCAGGTGCACATCTGGGTTGAGGCACATGGTGCACCAGGCACATGCCTTTGTTCCTTTAACAGAAATCTTAGCACCCAAGGTACATCTGGGTCAGATTTCATTCAATTTATCACAACTTAACAATCTCCTATTTACACAGATGCCCCTCCAACTTAAGAAAGAAATTTTAATCCTTGTGACAAAATCCATGAATTCTGCTCTCAAAGATCTTTCGCTTCCGGTCAGTCCCAAGTAACTAAAAATGATGTTTTCTCTATCATCTCTGACCACCCCTCCTATACCCGGTGTCCCTGAATTTCTCAAATTGCAACAATTGAAATTCAATACTCTTCCTGTTGACCTTTGGTGCCTCCCATTCCACCATCCTTTGCTGCCTTAGTCTATCCTGCTATAATCTGCCAACCTCAAATTAATTTGTCCATAGTTCCATGGAAGAGCTCACATGACAAAATCCAATTAGCAATCCCCACCATTGTGAGCTCTGTTAGGTCCAGTTCTGCCACATAATTTGTTGTTTCTTTGTTTTACAAGGTACCAACCGTGAAGGAAAGAGCTCCCAAATAATTGTTCATGAGGCTCCAAACAGAGTGACAACGTGATTCTATACCCTGATTGCAAATTAGAAATGCAGAAAAGGGTGGTTTATATTTTTCCACATCTTTAGGAAAAGGACACATGCATGAGAGGATAAACACCAGGGCTTCCTTCTTGGAAGCAACTCACAAGTATTTATAATCTTAACTCTTAAGAGAAACTACCCAGCAGAAAGCCTTGACCTTAGGGAAAGGGACCATCCCAAACTGCCCTCTCATTGTAAGGGGGTGAGGTAGGAGCAAGAAAAACACCCTTTAGAATCAGGGTACCAAATTCTTTGTTGAACCCTGCAGGCATGATAAAGGCATTTTTAAGGCTTTCCAATAGATTAAAAAGCCCCCCATTCCAGAGTCTCTCAAACATCTTCTAAAATCAGTACAGCTGATTTTTAGATAACAATTTCTAAGGATATTCCTCCAAAGAAGCTGGACCCTAATTACCCTTGTTTGTCCATAACATCAGACAAACAGTTTGCCGGTCTATGAACCCAAAAGCTGGTTCCCATTTCCCTTGCCAATGCTCTCATCTCCTTCATAATGTTTCAGTATTGCCATACACCTTGAATTTGTTCTTTAGCCAACCAACAACCACTCTAAAATCCCCTTTTACCATAATGTTTCTAACATTCAGTGGTCTTACAAACCATAAACCTTCAGTCCCACTAGCAACTCAGCCCTTGTAGAGTCCCCATAGCCTATAACTATAGGTCCCAAATATATCGTCATTATAGAACTATGACTGAGCCAGGCTGTTCTGTATTGACCAAGTTCTCCATCAACAATTTCCAGAAAAGCTACAATAAAGAAGCATAAACATTGCATCTAATATTTATAAGGAACACTTTGTCTACCTTTAGGCTGTTTTAGTGCTAACAGCAGTTGACCTAACAAGTGAGAGAAGGTAGTAAGTTGTGCCCCCTTCTACATGAAGAGGAAACATTGGTCAGCACCTGGTCTTCTTTCCTAAAAGTTCAGCCTAGTTAAACTTTTACTACAGTTGTTTCGTTAGGGCAACCCAAGCCCGTTAGGGATTGGCAGCATTCGGAGGGATGAGGAGGCACATATTATCAATATATTTTGGAATTTGGATTTAATACTGATGGTTGTTTTTCAGGGGAACCAGACCCCATCTGACATTAGCAGCATTTTGAGGGTGGGGAGGCAAAATATTATCACCATCTTTTTCAAGTCTGATAAGCTATGGTGATCAGTCAAAACAAGGACAAAGTTCTTTCCCTCAAAGGTTCAAGATCTCAAAGTCCCCTGTCCTTCCTAAAATCATCATTGAAGGAGATTCAAGGAGTGCATTATATTCAATCATTAGAAGAGATAAATATCAAGAGAGACTTTCATTATATTTCCAGAACCAGTTGCACAGCTTCCATGTTGAATATTTTCGCTTGGGTCGACCAATTGGCCAATGAGTTGTTATGTTGATTCTGTTGCTAAAAATTGTCTTGCACTAGGAATTGTGTATCTTTAGCTGAGTTACCACTGCAAATTTTCTTCAGAGGAATTTCAAGTTCAGTGAAAATTTCTTACAAGGGAATGTCAAGTTTTACAAGCCAAAAAATGTGACAAACACTAAGATCAACTAAAGCAAGATGTTTACTAGGTTTCAGGAAGATGACATATAAAATAAGCAGATAAAGAATGCATAAGAAATTACAACGCCTTTATAGTATAAAATATATAGTGTGGATCAAAGAAGGGCACAGAGATATACCAAGGCCTCAACACCACCAGCTGCAGCAATTGCTTCACGATTTCTGTCATCAAATGATAAATTCCACAAAGCACCTGCAGCTTCCTGCCTGTTTTGTGTGAAAATGCAATGGTGTCAAATCAGAGAAAACCAGAAAACTATTGCCGGGTCCATGGAGACCAAGTAAAACTGTAAAAGCACATTCAGTCTATACTAAACCACTGAAGTTCTACAATATAATAATTTTATAGAACAAGTTTTCCCAAATGACATAAAGTAGATAGAAAGGAATCTTATAAAACTTATACATTTCAATTAAGATAGTTTAGTATCTCATCAGTATTTATAATCTGCAAGGAAGCTTTCTAAAGCTTTGATTACCAAACAAAAGTGGCTTATTTGCATCAAGGGTAGAGAAGGGGGGATGAACCAAGGGCATAGAAAAAGAAAGAGCAAGAAAGGTGTCCACAGTGATCTAAAGTCGAGATAGATTCTCTGACCATCACCTCAGTCACCAGGAATACCTCTTTTACGGAGTCAAGTAGAAGCTATCTCTTCACATTAAAAGTCCTTAAAGTGCCTCTTAAAACCGAAATACCTTCTGAGAAACATTAGACCGCCTTTGATCTAAGAGTGTTCTTAGAGCTAGATATGGAGTACAACCATGGTAATTGAGAATAAAACAAAACAATCCCCTACTAAAGGTCCTCCCAGAACTTTGTTGCTGGCCTGCACTGGGGTCATACATGATGTATTTCAGAAAAATGGGATAGCTTTCCATGGATACTGAAATGTGGCTTTGCTGATCTAGTATCCTAACCATTTTGATGAAGGCCACATTTACTCTTGATACCGAATGCCAAAGGGAATTAGGTTTAATAGATAACCTCCATATCCACCTTCCTAACAAAGCAGTGTTCTTGTCTCTGATCCTACCAAGTCCCAATCCTCCATTAGATTTCCTTCTACAAACCCCTTTTCAATTTAGCTGATGCACTTTCTTGGATACTCCTAGGTCCCAAAGAAAGACTAATGACATTTCCGATTTTATTTGCCACTTTAACAGGCACTTTGAAAACTGAAATAAAATATATGGGCAAATTAACAAAAAGAGGTCTTGATTGAAGTAATCCTACCACTAAAGAAAATATTTCTCTGCTTCCAAGTAACAAGAGCCAGTCCCAAACACTTGAGAGGTCATTCCATCACCTCACACCCTAAAGAGTTTGCACGGTCTAATACCTCTCTTTCTTCCATATGTAATCCAGCTAAGTAGCATCTTGAAAGGTTGGCCTTTAAGCCTGAAACTATCTCCACTGTTACCAGAAATATTTTAAGATTCTAAATGTCATCCAGTCCATGGAGTTTTCCTAAAATAATTGTATCATCCACGAACAGCAACTAGGATTCTACTTGTCAATATCAACCTAATTTAAAACCCTTCAGCCCTCCCCCACACATGCTCATTAGCTCTTTTTAACAACCTGCTTAAAACTTCTACTAATAAATTAAAAGAGCTAGAAATAAAGGATCCCCTTGTCTTAACCCCCAAGTATCCTTGAAGAATCCTTTGGGTGACCCATTAATAAGAATGGAGAAATGAATTAAAACATCCCATCATCCTCTTACTCAACCTTCCTCCAAAGAGCATTTTATGCAACAATCACAAAAATCCCCAATCCCCATTTTTTATTTTTGAAAGATAAAAACTCCCAGCCTACCCGCCAACATGATCATATGCTCCTCACTTTCTCTATCAAAATATCATCCCTCTCTGTTGTCAAATTTATCAATGACTAACATTCATTGACTTGCAGTCTATCTCCACTGTGGGATTTGATCCAAATTGACTTATAAATGAAAAGTCATGTCTATAACCACATTGAACCAGTTCTATCAACTTTCATTCAAGTTCTGATCCAAATATCAAAATATTGGTCAGATCTTGACATTCAAGCTTAAGTTTGTACCATTGGCTTTATCTCATGAGATGAGTTCCAATCTGATTCTACACACCAGCCTGGTTAGGGTCTTCTACTCTTGTTTGCAAAATCCTAATTCAATAAATTGGATATAAATTAGATCAACTTTCAATCATAGGCTGCTGTTTTTCATTCTCTGATCAAGAACCTTTGAAAGCATGCACTAACCAAACTGAATCTAGAACCTAAATGTTTTACTTCACTAGGGCAAGTTAATTTTCATATGGTTTTTTTTGGGTACCAATCAAACAGCTAGGAGAAAGAAAGATTACAAAAATCTCAAAATGGGGTAAAATCAGTATTCTATTTAAGTTTGTAGTACATGTATTTACTTTTGTTTAACAAATTTCCAAAAAAAAAAAAAAAAACAGGAATAAACTTAAGAGATTTGCAATGTAGTTTACAACTTGATTTAATCTCTTCTATGATTTACCACATTGTTCAATTTTCAGAAAATCTGAGATGGATGAGTAGCAAGACTAGAAAAGGAGCATCAGTGAAAGATGGAGATAGCCATACCAATCATGCTGGAACAAGTATCACAGATGGAGTGATTAACATAACTGGCCACAATATCGAAGCATAGCTTGCAGTATTATATGCCTGGGAGTTTTTAATATGATAAACAAAATAAATTACCTGACACCTTCATGGTGAGAGCATGTAAGCTGTACCAATGCTTCCAGAGCACCTGCCTCTTGTCCAACTGCAGCATTATTACTGTTGCTATCTCCATGAGCAGCCAAATTAGCTAAGGCACGAGCAGCCTGCACGATCATCAGAGAAAAACCAGTTCTTTTTTATGATAAATAAAAGATCAGTTCATTTCCATTAACAAATATAAGTATGACATGTATGACACTAACATATAACAATAGTATGATACTGGATCCTGTTGTTGAACTTCTAGCATTTCATTGGAGTAACAAATTATATGGAAACAGTAGACAGTTTTTCTGATCCTACTCAAGCATGAAAAGAGAACCTATCTTATCTCTAAGCACTTTTAAATAAAGTCAACAAAGAACAGCATCATCAAACATTGTAAGATATCAGGTGTGCTGTGTGCATAAAACAAGTATCAATAACGCAAGCAACAAGTATCGATAAGACAATACCAGAAATCTTAGGCCAATAAATAACAACTACTCAAGTGGAAGCAAATGAAAGCATTTGGATATAAGAACTAATGAATAGTCAAAAGTATAGCAAATAAAGAAATATCAACTTCTCAAACATAATCATATTAGCTCTACCTGCTCTTGTACTCCCTCAAACTTGCATGATCTGGCAAGCATCACCAGAGCATGGACACCACCTGCCAGTGCAACCTCCATGCTACATTTATCATCAGCTGCTAAATTTGCCAATGCACCAGCAGCACGCTCCTGGCATCATGAAAGAAAGCATGAATTCAACTTACACCCCGTAACACTAAAGTACCATCTCTATGTAAAACATCAAGCTTTTCTGGTAAGTAATGATCATATGCAAGGGACATACAAGAACACCATCCCCACCAGAGGGCCACTTGAAAATGAGATCCACTAAAGCTTTTACACCACCTGCCTCAGCAATGGCACCCTAAAAAGAAACTCGGATAAATTACAAATATAAACTTAAGGTAAGGACATTGACAAAATAAGCTGCACCACAGACAACCTTGTGCTCTTCTCCCACAGACAGATTCCAAAGCCCACCAGCAGCCTCTTCAGCAACTAACCTATTCCTGGATCTTGCCAAATCAGCTAGTATATTGATTCCTCCCTCTTCTGCTACAGCTTTTGCTACTTTGGCATTCACAGACAAGTTGGCTATGGCCTGTATCTCCCAACAGTACAAAACAATTAAAACATATTCTCAAGATTACATGCAGAAAATTGAGGTTAAAACTGGTTGAAAATCAGGCAGCAATATTACCTTTGCTGCTTCAGACTGAAGGCCCTCCCGACAAGATCTTGCTAGGTCTAAAAGCAAACGTATTCCACCATCCTGCATGACTGCCTCGGCCCTTCCACAATCAACAGTAGCATTCTCATCGTCAATTACAACAAAATTTGCAAGTGCCGTAGCCGCTCTTTCTTGAACATCCTCTTGTGAGCTCTGAATTAAACGGAGCAACAATGCAGCCCCTTGCCTTAGCCAGAAGCTATCCAACCCCTGAGGGTTGGTCTCCGCAATACGTAGAAGCGCATGTGAGAGAATCCATTCAAGCCATGGCATAATCTCATTCAAGCTTTTATCCCCATTTTTTAAATTCCTCCAATCCGAAAACAGGGTTCTTTCTGTGTTGGTGATATCAGCAAATAATGAAGCTACTCCTTTGAAAATATCATTAAAAAGGGTAAGCAACAACTTACCTTTATGATTACATGCTGTATAATTACCTTCTTCTTCAATAAGTGGACAGTTGAGGGCACACAAGACCTTCAAGTTTTGAGATGATGACAACAATCTTGAAAGAGCACTTGGGCTCACATCGGTTCTTGAAACATCTAACCCCGTCAAATTAGGCAGTTTATTCCAAACTTGGGAAGCTGAGCTCCATTTTATGTTTCTTATCCCCGCAACAGAAAGGAAACGAACAGACACTACATTCCCTAATGCTAACTCATCGACACTTACACAATCCACGAAACCTATCTCCGCCAACTGCCTACAATGCCTTGCCAACGCATTAATGGCGTCTGCATCAATATCCCTAACTCCTGAAAGCCGCAGTCTCTTCAACATGGGACAACAGAGAGCAACTGCTTTTATAGCATCACTACTGATCCTATCACAGAAATCTGGACCAAGTTGGATGCTCTCAAGTGCCTCATGCTTTGCTGCCATCACTGAGAGAGTGGCGTCAGTAATCTCACGGCAGAAATCACCGCTGATTTCACGAAGACCCCTCGCCTGGAGATGCATTATCGCATTGGCAGACTCTGCCCCTCGGAACCGGAGTTTCTGAAGCTTAGCACAACGAGGAGCAAGGGAAGCCGCAGTGGCAGCATCACACTTGTGAGCACGAAGATCCAAAGAATTCCATAAACAAGGAGAAGAACCCAAAGCCCTCCATGTTCGACAAGTCGAAGACAAGCTTGCTCGGTCTCGATAATTCAGACAAGAAAACAACTGAACAACGGTATCATCAGGCAAGCTAGTCCAATCAACCTCCACTTTCTCTGAACTGGAACTCACATGACAGATTTCCGAGTAACTATGCAAATTTGCCTTCCCCTTGTCCTTCGATTGCGCCCCTTTCCTCCTAACTCTTCGACTCATCTCTCAACCAAACAAACTATGAATTCACAAGCCTACCAGAACAATTTGACCCAGAAAGAAAAGAAACCACCAGCACATCCAAAACCCTAACCCTCAAAAAACTAATTGAATTGCAGAGATAGAATAATTTACAATTTGTATGGACCCATACGTCGTAGAATAACGAAACCAGTCATATATATTCGAAATCCATTAAAAAAACTTGTCTTTTAGCTTCTAATGTTCTTAAGTGGGAAGAAAATAAATGGCGGGTAGTTGCAACAGCAGATTTCTCTGGTACCTCAAGCTTCGTTGATGTCTGCGTAAAACCCTAACTTTTCGAGCTAAAGCAATAAACAATTTCTGCCATTTGTGGGGAAGCAAGGAGTAGTTTGAGGAATCCTGACGTGGGGTTTTATGGGGTTGATAATAAAGAGGAGGGAGAGGACAGACGAAGCCAAGGAAAAGGGAGGAGAGAAGAGAGAATTCAGGTCAGAGCGGTCAGGAGAGAAGCAAAGCCAAACCCTGAAAGCATTTATCTGTCCCCTCCCCCTTCCCTGTAATGCTCTCCCTATGGAGATTGCTGGCAACACAAGCAGGAATGGAATTATATGGAGAGAGGCTGGGGAGCTGATGGTCCATTTTAGGTTTCATGTGCCCAAAACCCATCAATTCAATTCAACAGAATCAACACTTTCATTCTCATGCCCTCTCAAAGGGAATTTGGATTTAGTCCTGTAGATGACCTGTGATTTTGAAACTCTAGAGGTGTATCATGTGTGTTATTGCTGAGAATAATTTTGGGTCGCGGTCTAGACTCTAGACCAGTCAAGTGATTATATTACTTGTAATTGATGCAAATAAAGGTTCTAAAGAGCCTTGTGATTAGGTCGATTTGAGATTTCTTGATATAGATCAAATTGTTCTCACCCAATTACTTTTGGTAAACAAAAATCAGTAAATTTTGGCACATTGTGATGGTTTATATGTTACCTCCAAAGTTTAATCACAATATGTACATAGAGTTTGATTATTTATTTTTTTATAAATAGTTGGATGATTTCAAATTCACCTACTTTATTTTCTTGGTGTAAATAGCCCTCTTCATTTTTTTTTCTTTTTCTGGGATTCTGGAGAATGGAAAATCTATCAATGAGATTGTGGTTTACATTAATCGTTTTCTCATATTCATATATATTGAAATAATTCATAGATGATGATGCACTTGAACACGATGATTCCAACTTCACCTACTTTATTTCATTGGTGTAAGCATACCACATAAGTTTAATTGCAATTTAAAATGGAATAGCCAAATATAATTCATGTAGTCAATCGCAATATAGTTCGGACAATGAGGCAAGGCTTAGATGATGATGATGATGATGATGATAGTATTACATTTATACATTGTTATGGACAAGTTACGGTCAACATCAATGTTATGAAGCATAGTTAGAAAAATCTATTGGGAAATTTCTAACTTTTTATCTTCAATAGAATGAAATATCATTTGTTGTCAAAAACCTTCTTTGTATATAATGATAAAAATCAATAGATAGGGGTGTTTTTGTCTTTCAAGTAATTATTGTTTTAAATATAAATTAATAAATGTATATTTTTTTAAGTTATCAAGATAATGTCATTGTGGTATTATAGTCGAAAGTCCAAATATCTATCTATACTATTATAGACTAGATACTTGCTTTAGTTTTGGTATAGGACAAAAAAAGTCACATTGATAACAAGTTAACTTATATAATTATGTTTATTTGTATACATGCATAGCATGTGCACGTACACTAATACAATATAAATATATACTTTTGCCTTGGTTTTGGTGTAAATTTGATATATCATTAACTTATATCTTTACCCTTTATTTGCATGTGTGCATAGCACAAGCCCTTATATTAACATAATTAATTATAATATTCCAGAGTCTCCTCCAACATAAATGTTTTTTATTTATTTTTCTCTAAGAAACAATACATTAGCAAAAAGCAAAGCTGCATTATGGATGTATTTTTCTCCAAAACAAAGTGAAAAACATTTTTAGTTTGATTTAAAAAGAGTTTGACTATAATGCCAGAAAAACATGATATTGGAAAACTTGTAACCAATCAATCGGCATCATAAAAGTGGTAACCAATCAGGTGGATATTCATCAAAATCCACAAGGAGTTTTGATTGGTCAAAACTCTTATTGTATCATGTCTTTCTGAAAAATTACTTTATTATTTGGTATGTAGTAGATATGGCAAAATATTTTATACACCCTCTTACAAATTATGGTTTGAAGTCAAAACAAAAATATAAATACACAAAGGATGAGTTAGTATTTGTTCAATCAAAATATCTGTTGAAACACAACGTGAAAACAACAAAAGATAAGCATGTTTTCAACATTAAAAAATTAAGAGTGAATATCTAGTTTTAACTAGTTTTAATAAAAAAAAAACTAGAAATTTCTAGTTTCATCAAATTTCAGAAAAAAAAAATGATATCCATTCTATTAGGATTTTGCAACTTTATACTTGAAAAATAATAGAGTAAACTTACTTGAAACAAGACATATTGAAAAAGCCATAACAACTTGAACCAGTGATTGCAAGAGGTCACTTCAACCTTGTTTTTCTCTATCTCTCTTTATTTAATGGTTGAACTTTTCAAACCAACAAGGATAAAGAGCATGGGGCTAGGGACATTCCCTTTCATAGCCATCCTAAAGAATACCTTCCTCTCAAGGTGACAGATCAAATTTGGCTTTGAGTAAATGGTTGTCGTTACAGAATTGTTCTCTGCATGGTCATTAAACAAAAAATGTTTCAAACGTTTTAATTCTAAACAATCTCCCACCACTTGGTCTTGCAAAGATTATCAAGTAGCATCATGTATGTATGTATGCATAAAATATATATATATATATATATGTATATATGCATGTATCTACTCATGATCACACTTAATATTAAATTAGACTGAGAAAAATAAGATTGTTAACATAAGATCATACAAGTCATTACATCTTATTAACAACGTAATGTCATTCCATGAACATTATATTAACATTTTCATCCTCCATAATCCATAAGTTTAATGTGGAATGATTTCTTCCACTTTTATGGTCTCCTAAACTCCTATTATTTATAATTCATTAGAATCCTTATAATGAAAAAGCAGACAATTGGGATACAATAAATAGAGCAAAAAATGAAGAATAACAATGTCATCATTATGTTAGCAAAAATATACTCTCACTAACCAAGTGGATTAAAAGAATTTATAACACCCTATATGGGCTACATGTTCTATTGTTCCATAAACGATTTTACATTAAGAACTTTGATCAGTGAGTAAACTATCATAGTTGTAATGTTGATATGCTCTACAATAATCTGTTGTTCCCGAAAATTTTTTCACAACAAGAAACTTTATGTTCATGTGCTTAAATGCACCTAAACTCTTGTTATTCTTGGAGAAGAAAACAACTACAGAAATGTTATAGTAAATTCTTATCAATTTGGAATTATTGTTTATGACCCAAAGCCCTAAGATAAAGTTTTATAACTAGATGGCTTGTTTAGTTGTCCCATAAAAAGCCACAAATTTCATTTACATAATTTATGAAACTATAGATGATTGTTTAGCACTCTTTTAGATGATAACACATCTAGCTAACACAAAAATATAACTGCATGGCTTTTACGGATTGTGTAATATAAGCACCTCAAGAGCCAAGTAAAAAGAAATATTTCAATGGCCAAGGGGAAATGAACATGGAAAAGTTTAAGAAATAATTTTAGAGTACATTATTTCTATTGCAAGAAAATAGATCATACGAAGAATGTTTATTTGAAATTCAAAAAGAACATAGATAATAAGGTACTTGTAGTTTTTGAGTCTAATATTGGTGTAACCCTTCATATATTAAATACTATGTATGGGATTCTCAATAGCAAGAGATTAATAGATGGAGAAAAGGATTTGGTGATGGAAACGATGTAAAAGCTTGAGCGGAAGTAGTTGATATCTATAAATTGACATTAAACATAGATTTTGTTTTAGATTTAGAATATGCTATTTATGTACGTAGCTAATATGATGAGGAACCTTTTATCAATTACTAAACTTGATGGCTTTGGTTTTAAGTTTAATTTTGAAAGTATTGTTTATAGTTTAATTTTTCAATTTCATGTTGTTGGTATTGGAACTTTATATGATCAATTATATAAATTAAAATTTGATAATACATATTCCTCATCTCTCTTATCAATGTATGCATATAATGTTGTTGGTTTAAAACATTGCATGATTAATGAAAATTCGCTAATGTTATGCCATAAACAATTAGGTCAAATCTCAAAAAAAAAATTGAAAGATTGATGAAATAAAGAATACTGAATGAGTTTGATTCTACATATTTTAGCACATGTATAGAGTGCATTAAAGGTAAAATCACAAAAAGTAAAAAGAAAAGTCATAAAAAAATTTAGATTTTTTGGAATTGATTCACACCAACATTTGTGGGTATTTTTACATTAGCTTGAACTGGTGAAAGATATTTCATTACTTTTATTAATGATCATTCTTGTTATAGTTATATATATTTGTTACATGAAAAGGCACAAGTTTTAGAATTCTTCAAGATTTGCAAATTTGAAGTTAAGAATTAGTTAAACAAAAGGGTTAAAGTAGTAAGATCTCATCAAGGAAGAGAGTACTATGGAATATTTAATGAATTTGGGCAACATAAAGGACCTTTTGCCAAGTTTTTAGATGATTATGGTATTGTTGCACAATATACCATGCTAGGGCTGAATAGTTCAGACCTAACCTTAGCTCAAGTTTTAGGCCCAATTCCTAAGGTTAGGCCTAGGTTAACTTGCACCTTTAAGGGTGGCAATGGCTCCATCTATCTTCCTATGCCTTTCAAGGGTAATTGGTGGCCTCATATATGAAAAAAATGACACATATATATGGGTTGAATGAGGTAAAGTCATCAAAAAATGATATAATATCACTTATTATAATAAGGAAATAACAAGTGTAAAAGAATAATTTTGAATTCAATAACTAAGTGGGAACAATGTAGAGAGAAAAAAGAAGGTTATAAGGGTTGAGTTAAATTTGTTTAACCAATAAAAAAATTAAATGGAATATATTTTATAGCATTCCATTATTTATAAATTTTTACTAAAGTTGAATTTTACCAAGATTCCAACCCATTTTATGAGTCTCTAAATATAGTTTTTTAACTATATGCTTTTATACCAAACATGGTTTTGAGAACATTATGTAATTTAAAGTAAGTTGATTATAATATATCTATGATCTACCTATAGACAAAACAATGCCATTACAAATGATTATGTATAATTGGATAGTTATTTATTTTTTATGAATAAGCTTCCCTTCTAAATTCAAAAACTTAAATGAATGAAATACAATTCATATTTATGGATTTTCTTTCCCTTTTCATAGTTGGGACTTGTTTAATGGTGGATTTAAATCCTATACATATTGGACTTGTTTAATAAGAGTTTTATTTGTTAACACAATTTCAACCTCAACCTTCAAGAAGTTCAAAACCTACTTAATCAAACACATTTTAGTTTCAACTTCAACTAAAAAAAAAAGCATGAGGCACCTCAGCCACAACCTAAGTTCAAACCTACTTATTCAAACACATTTTATTTTCAACTTCAGCTAAAAAAAAAAAAGCAAATAAAA